AACTTCTATTCAACGAAAGGAGACTACGACCACACAAAAGGCCACACCATCTTGGTCTTTATACTTTCGATTAAACAACTACAGCAATTAAAACACCACCAGCCACAATAAATACTACTTTCCCCAGTCCACTCCTCATTCATTATATTGCCTGCATCCCTTTCTTTCTCTCTTGTCACTCACTCGTTCCTCTCTTAATTTGTTCGTCAATTAAGAGTGCCTTCTTGCCGCCCATTCTTACCGGCTACTCACCCTCCTGATCATATTTCAGGCCTATCTTCCAAACATTCTTAAGTATTTCATTCAATAGTTTGTCTCCTCGTTATGTTGGTTAGCAAGATACATCTTTAATTTATTTATGAATAACTTCATATAACCCTTATTCTTCCTGCAGTGTATCAATCCCAGAATTCGACACATCAGTCAAGAAATCCATAATCCATTTTTACATTTATTCCAACCGCACTTATTTGTAAAATTTGCTGATTAGGCAATTCATTCTTTCGGTCTTTCAGTAGTTTTTAGTTCCATCCTTAATTCTTTTCGGCGTAAATGATTCCTTTATTCATTTGTTCCTTCACTGCATATTTCTTTCTATCTTTAGCCAGTATCTTTTTTTATACCTTCCTTGTTTTGTATCTGAACTCGTCCAATCCTTCTTTCATTCCTCCAACCTCATTCCATTCCTTCTTTATTTCCTTACCTCCATCCTTTTTCCCATTAATCTTAACTTAATTAATTCTCTTATTTCTTCCTTTATTACTACTTGAATTCATTCATTACTTCCTTCCTACCTTCGTTACTCTATAATTTCCTTCCTCATTCCATCCCTCCTTCCTTTCTTCCTTCTATGTATCCATCCATTTTTACTTCCATTCTATATCCCTTGACTTATTTAATACTTCCTGCTCTCCCTGCTTCCATACTTGCTTCCCTCATTCCGAATTCCTTCCTTCCATCTGTTAAATTCTCACTTCCTTTTTTTCTTAAATCCACTCTTTATTCTTCCCTTTTTTTCTTCTTTAAATACCTCTAAACTTCCTTCCTTCATTCATTCCTTCACTCCATCCAGCCCTCATTAATTCCTACCTTCCTTCGTGCCTTTGATCCTCCACTCCTTTATTCCCCTCTTCCTTGCTTCCTTAAGGGCCTACTAATCTACATCTTCATTCCCATTCTGACAGAATTCTTCTTTACCTCCTTGTATTTTTATTCCATCTTTCCTTATTTCTGGCCCACTTTGAATTCTTTCATTTTTCTAAATTCCTTCCTTTCTTTCTTGAAACCTTCATTAAATCTACTTACCTTCTATATCTGCTTTTTCTCCCTTTATTTAAATTCATTTCCCTCTCTTTCTTTCCTTCCCTCTTACCGCTTTTGTTTCTTACGGGATAAAAACAAGCAGTACAACAGGCTTATCGTCCTAGAACCACAGTCAGAGCTTCTTCTTTGCAACACCCCTGCTCATCTGCTAATATCTTATTCCTGCCACTGCATTAAACCCGTTCACTTGAAAAGGCATTTTGCTTGACATTTAGGAGAGAGTATAAGAACACTATGCTCATGTCGAACTTTATTCGTTTATTGCTCCATGATTCCTTAAAAAGTTGTGATAGTATGCTCTTCCGATTGTGACGTTATCTTTTCGGTCACAGACTTTCTAGCTCAAACGTATTTTCGCACTTAAGTAGATCACATTTTGACATTCTAAATAATTTTTAAATTTTTTATTTAAAGCTTCCCTTAAAAGCTCGGTTTCAAGAATTTGCTTCTCATAAATGCTTCCTTTTATTTTTTATTTGGCTAAAATGCAGAAATGTATATTCGTTATTAGATTAACTTGTGGCAAGTGTAATTATGATGCTCTCCTGGGTTCTAAACACAAAGAAATTCATTAAATAAACAAAGTCTTCCTTTCCAATCGTCTAGGAAGGCTACAGGGAAAATTAAAATGTAGCAAGCCTTATTTTAAAATTTTTTGTGTACTTTTAAAAATATTTTATGAATTAGTATTTCTGATAAAAAACTAAATTTCAAAGAACCCATTAATAAATTTGTTTTTAAACCTTTAATTTCGGTGAGACGAAGAGTTCTTCGCAGAATTCAACATTGATAACTCCAAGGCTCTTTTGATTTACGATAGGGCCACTTTAAAAATCCCTTTTCCATGCCCCTCTAAACGAAATAAAAGATATAAAACATCAATTATAAAATTTTAACATGTGATATTTCAGCATTTGTGAAGCCAGAATTCATCAACCTTTCTATCGAATTGAGTAATTGTAGCTTCTTTAACCATAATCCATAAATGGATGCTTATTGAGACTAGTAAATGTAGTGCACCTCTAGCACTGTCCTCAGCTTCTCCAATGGATATACACAGTCTCTTAGTATTCTTAGTTTAACGTAAGAGTTATTTGCAGTAACTAAAGTTAAGTAATAAACCGCCTCAGAAGCAATAATAGCAAAAGCTTGCATCATTTTAAAATAGGTCTATACCTTAAGGTGTGTATGCTCAATAAAGAAATGAAACTGAGCCTTATAGTCAAGTATACGGCAGGGATTTGT